TGTTTTGCTGTTTGTGACTTTTCAAAACGCAGTCGTTTCCCGTATAAAGAACTTCTGTGTTATTTTGCTCGTTATTAATATATTGCATATGTCCTTTCTATCCCACTGCATCGCAGATGAAACCGGATGACGTATTACATACATTATATACAAAAATGAACCTATGAAAAAATTGTCTCAAACCTGTACGTGCCAGGACGTTTGCCAGCTTGCGTGGTATTTAACCAACGGAACCACATTTTTAGTTTGGGGTATATTCGTTGTAACAACGGCCGGTTCGCCTCCACAAACGTCTTGTCGGTAGTCATCACGTCGATTAGGTAAAAGAACATGGGCGGGTTAGCAACATTGTTGTGCTGGATGATGAACTCCTGAGGTACCTTGCGGACCGCCTCGCTGCCCAAGATCACTTCGCGGGGTATCCATCCTTCGACGTTCATAAGATCGAGCCACGAAGCGACGATCGACAGGCTCAAGTTGGCGTCCCAATGACGCAACAGCAACTGGTGGAACCCCTCATCCCACAGAAAACCTCGTGGGAAGAACGATCGCGACGGCACGCCGCTAAATAGCGTCAGAGGGCCGTACGGAACTGGCTTCTTGGTGAATGTAGATTGTACGGCCATATGGCCGTGAAAATAACTGATGCTGCCAAGCATGTTGCTCAGCGCGTACTTAGCCACATCGACATACATCGTTGGATATTGCTTCTGCTGCAGGTGGAATAAAGACTCGAACTTGTCTTCAAACCTTTTCCTGTGAGCCTAAACACGTTTCAGAATTTACACGTTGGCGTTGATATAAGTTGAATAAGTTAGAGAATGTTCACTATTTTATATTTGTCAGCACAATAAAAAACGAAATCAGAAAACTCACAAAAGCGTCACTGAGGAATAACTGTTGCCGAGATCAAAGATGATAAAATGCGGAAGGGCAGTGAGCAGAGAAGAAAATGTCGACTGCAAAAATAACTTATGGTAGTTGCCTGTTTAATAATTTGCAGTATACCACAACTTACTCACTGTAAATTTTAGTTTAAAATAGACTTTCCAGAAGTTTGACGAGTTTGTGTTACTTGAACCACAACTAAGAGCTGGCTTACACTCATGTCTTGTACGTCATCTACTCGGTGATGTTGCATGCACCGAAACATTTTCGGTTCTTAAATGCAATGGAGCTGTGGTTTAGTAAGGTGCTACCACTAGGCGTCTAGAAACCAGTAGGCAGCGCAACATTGCCGTATAATTTGATTAATAAAATATATCGTCATTCTTTACTGTAGAAATTGTGTAAACCAAAATTTTAGTTTAAAACCAGTCAAACACACAAAAAGCATGAATGTAAAAAATTTACATATCACAAACGTTAAGTAAAAAGGAAGTATCTGGTGGAGGAATTACGCTTGTGTCTTCTATTTGCAGACCGATGAGACACTTGATGACAAAAGCCAGGGCAGATATACTGTGAGCCTCAACCTGAACCGTTTTTCATTAGAACATCGTAGTCTGTGCCTGTCAATGTCTAAGATAGTACTCTTAAGTAGGAGCATCACGTAAACGGCCTTATACGCTACCTTCGGGGGTCGAGGTCAGTCTGAGTAGCAAAAAAAACGAGTAATGACAAAAAAGTGAATAATGGCCATGACGAAAGCGATAAAAAAAATGTACTCGTGTATATTAGTATAGAGTGGATATTGGGATGGCCACTGTGCCAGTCCTATGGTGACACTGCCAACTTTCATGTAATATCCCTTTTTCCTTCCTTGTTGTTTAGTAAGAGATAAGACAAGAATTAAAAGAGCGCAACGGAACATCAATGAAATAAACACCAACTACGGAAACTTATTCATTTACACTGATGGATATAGCCTGCAACCTAGACAAATCAACGAATCACTATGCAATTTGGTCCATGCAAAAATTATGAATGATGTTGTTACATAGTTCCTACAGGTCGTATGGTCACTGGACTTTTGACGTCCGGTGACCGCGTAGAAGAAAGAGCAGCAACTGAATTCAGTAGCTAATAATTTATACATGAGTACTTTTCTGTGAGAAGGAAACAAGAGAGCACAAGTTATGCTTAGCTGCTGTTGAATCTGTCTTTAGAAAATAAGGTACTCATGGCTCATTCATGAAAATGGAGAACAGCGCTACACAATAAACCTTCATGAATAGAAGCGTGCCAGAAATGATCTCATCATCCCATAAAGTGTAATGAATACCATCAATGTAACAGTTACAAACTTTCCTGTTTTCTTTCTTTACCAGGTCACTGTGTTTGAGCATCGGGCTCGACAGGTCGATCGATAACAGAATGAGAAAATGGCACGATTTATTACCTTAAGTTCTGCATCGAAGGCAGGGCCGGAAAGGTTGGGATTTTTGTCAGGCAGCGAAATCCGGTAAATAATCTCAAAACTGGTGCCACCGGTCACCGTTAGCTGCACGGCGATAACGTTCGGTTTAATAACGGTAGAACCATCCTCGGAAGTTGGTGCAACCAGTCCCAAGTAATGATCATGGTGTTCGGATTTAACCTGAAAAGCAACTACATTACAACATAATGCAGGAGCAATAAAGTAATTGTAACAAAAACAGGTTCAATTCAACAACTGTTATAATGAAAGACAAGTACCCGATTCTGTAACATTTTTTGGGAAACCAACCTACCTACTACGCTGCGTGCTAAAAGCACAATATCTAATGATATGAATCCAGTGATCGCCATAGAATGAAGAAATTTGTTTTTACTGCCAACAGACCTTTCAACCGAAGCCCAGCACAACTGCATCCTAATATCCTGAACTTCCGGTTTGGCTGAATGTGATGAATGATGGCACCGTCATGACTGATGGATGCTATTCAACCATCTTGGCGTAAAACAACACCTATAAATATCTTACCTCGTATTGCTATTCTCAACTCCCAGTTCCAATACATGTTTCAGGCAAATTTAACTTGACTCATGACAGAAGCGTCATGCCGCGGCTAAATGCACCAGATTTGTTTGATTACATGATCGAAGATCGGTCATGACAGAAATATACCACTATGAAAACAATGGCAGCCAACAGATTAACAGGTCATTGTATGTAAAACAAATCTGGTCAAGAGAAGAACTGAAAGAATAGGGGGTTATCCGCGTCCTATTTGTTCCTAAAAAATATCTGAAGGATAACCAATATTGCCAGCCTTCTGAACAAAGGATAAAGAATGAGCTAAGTTGCAACTAAATAATGTCAATTCTCTGAACTTAAACGGATTTCGCACAGCTAATTTATCACTAACTGCCAAGGGAGCCATTTAAGCAAGTCAAGGTGAGTTTAATTTTGTCGAATGCACAAAGAATTTGTTCCTTATGCAAAAAATGATGGAAATCTTATACGATGACCAAAAAACTACTTCGGCTAGGTTCAACGTACCTTCATAACACCAGTCGAAGATATTATCAGCTCTGACATGACACTGACATCGGTCGCCTTTGATACTAAATAGTTGCTGGCGAAGATTTTCTTCGGGTAGGAAATTTCGACGTTAAACTTGCCCAGCTCTTTCGTTTCGCCCACCATGCCGATCACGTGATTAGACCGCCCTTTGGACACGTCGAACACAGGCGACAGGCTAGAACCCTCGGATGGAACAACGAAATAGACGACGAATGAATAGAGCGACGTATTGGATGCTGGCTGTTGTAATGACGAAATTCAGAAGTCAAACACATAAAACGAACAGAGTTTATGCTATACCAGGGTTTGAGAATCGATGCGCCATGTCCATTGGCCCCCAAGGTCGTTTGATTCCTGTTTGACAAACGTCGTCTTAAGCTTTAATCCACCGTCTACTATCTCCTGCACGCCGAACGACTCGCCGTCATGTTCTAGCCACCCGTAACGCTGTAAGTTGTTGTCGTCCTCACACCAATGCCTATAAGAAAGTGGATAAACGG